CTAGCTTGAAGGACTACGTGACGCGAATGAAAGATGGTCAAAACGAAATCTTTTACATCACGGGTGAGAGCAAGAAGGCCGTAGAGAATTCCCCATTCCTCGAGAAGTTGAAAAAGAAGGGATACGAAGTCCTCTATATGGTGGACGCGATTGACGAGTATTCCGTGGGCCAGTTGAAGGAATTCGAAGGAAAGAAGCTCGTTTCCGCCACCAAAGAAGGTCTAAAGCTTGAAGAAACCGAAGACGAGAAGAGGAAGCAAGAATCTTTGAAGGAGAAATTTGAGGGTCTGTGCAAGGTGATCAAGGATGTGTTGGGCGACAAGGTGGAGAAGGTGGTCGTATCGGACCGCGTAGTCGACTCTCCGTGCTGTCTGGTGACGGGGGAGTACGGATGGACGGCGAACATGGAGCGAATCATGAAAGCGCAGGCTTTACGTGACGCAAGCATGGCGGGGTACATGTCGAGCAAAAAGACGATGGAAATAAACCCAGAGAACGCAATCATGGAGGAGTTGAGGAAGAGAGCGGATGCGGATAAGAACGACAAGTCGGTGAAGGATTTGGTGCTGTTGCTGTTTGAGACGGCACTGTTGACATCTGGGTTCAGTCTTGATGAACCAAACACATTTGGAAACAGGATTCATAGGATGTTGAAACTTGGGTTGAGCATTGATGATGATGAAGCAGGTGAAGGTGATGCTGATATTCCTGCTCTTGAAGAAGCAGATGTTGATGCTGAAGGCAGCAAGATGGAGGAAGTCGACTAAAAAATCTATTGTTTTTGAAGGTTTATTATTTGGTGCTTTTTGAAATAGTTTGGCAAACTGCTGTTTTTGTATCGTTTGTCTGTTGGGAATACACGTATTTCAGTTTTTTACCGGGTGGCTTCTTTTAACACACACCGACACTTGTTCAACTTAACGAGTTGAGTTCTATAATGTTTGACTCGCTCGTATGGGAGCTTGATTAAATCCTTTCGAGCCTGCACCTTTTATGTGTTTACAGTATAGAGCCAATAAATGAGCCAATTGATCTTGAGTTTAAACTCAATATTGGAAAAGTATTTGAGTTTGTGAACCCCGTAATATCATTCCACGTTGTTTATGAAACGAAAAATGAGTTGTTTGTTTATCTCATGATAGTTCATTAAGAGGCCGTCATTGAATCGTTAAGAGATAAATCTTGCTTGCCTAAAAAAATCTGTCTTTTAATTGTTTTAAAATCTTTTGAATAATTTTGTATTTTGGATCTTACTTATATTTTATTTTGTATTATATAATTAAAGTCTCTTAAGTTGTTCAATGTTTTCAAGTTATCACCAAAAATCATGTCATTTCATTTATTGAAGGGTAAGTTATGATTTTCGTTCATTATGGTTGTTAATAATTTCAATTTTCGTCTTTATGATTTAGAAATTGTGACTTTTGTCCTTGTGGTTTTACAATTTATTGTTCTTTTCATCCTAGGACTAATTCCTATCTTAAGTACAAGGGACCAAAATTATAAATAACTATAAATTACAGGGACCGAAACAACAATAAATTATACATCACAAGGACGAAAACTGCAATTTTTGTACCATAACGACGAAAATCAAATTTTTTTAAGGCCACGGGGATAAAAATCATAATTAACTTCTTATTTAATCAAGTTTTCAGATTTTGATAATCTTTTGATGGTTTGAATTCAGAGTGAGACCAGTCTGTTTTCGTGACACCTGTGAGACCACTTTTATACGTTTGATCTTCACAGCAAAACGTTGTGAAGGTTAAAAAAGCCGAACCTTCACAGCAAAAACACTGTGAAGGTTACCTATACATGCGTTTTGCTGTGAAGTTTCAACTGTAAAAAGGTGGTCTCACGTGATCCCAATAGGTTACTGTTTTAGCTTCTAGAGTTTCGGAAAATATATTACAAAAGATGTACTTTAGACGGAAAACGAAAAAACATGTCTTTGAGAAAGTGCGTGAACAAAATGGCAAATGTTTTATATGCATAATTGACGTCTAATAAAAGTACACAAACAGATCACCGGAGCAAAACTTGTCAAAACAAACCAGAAAGCGTAAACACCATCAGCTATCCTCAACTCTCGAGTGAAAAACAAAGCTCGGGAATGTTGTCGTGATATCCCTGTCAAAAAATGTAACCAACTCAACATCTACACTTCACAAATGAACCAACACGTTCGCTATAACAAAACCAATATATCCAACTTAAGGTGGGGAGTCGGGGGAGGGTAAGATATATGCGGACCTGACATCTGCTACTAAAAGTAAAGTGGTTGTTTCCATTAAGACCCCGACTTGTGAAAGTGTAACAAAGAGAGAATACGCAAATCCGTAAGCATAAGCTAAAATAAAGTTGAATAATATGAGCTTACTTGAGGTACTGAAGGGTCATATTCTTCAAGAGGGACGGATGTCGTAGCACAAGGCTTCTCCATTCTTCCTTATCGATCTTCCCGTCATGTTTCGTATCCGCTTCCTCAAACGTCTAAACAATCACATTCATTTCGAGAATCATCCCTTGGTCGTTGTACAGTTAAAGGCACCGGAAAATGGAATTAGTTGAAGTACCTTATCAATGATGCTCTCAATTACATCACTGGAAAGATTCATGCCAGATTCAGCAAGAGTAGCCACCACCATTTGCTTCACCTACATGTCACAAATCCAAACAAATTATTCACTCCCATACCATACTAAACTCTGGTACTAGACTTTAGATAGGAATAAGGGTTTTTTTGGGGGCGCTCAATCAA